ACTATTGTCGCCTCGACGCCTATTTACCTTGTAATAAACAAGAGAAATTCTGAGCTTGTGTCTGTTACGAGGGTTATTATTATTATTATTATTTGTTTTACATCGGAAGCTCAACAGTGCAGCTGCACAAATATGAAGAGGCCAATGGGACCAAAAAAATATAATAAAAAAATAAACAATGTATATACATCCTGCGATCAGATGAGCACACACCGGCAAGGGAGGCCATGAGTGGATTCTTTGGCTGCTCCGTGCCGGGATACCGTGGGCGGCCGCGGATCACGCTACCAGTCCTGCTGAATCAAGACGCGGAGCGAGTCGGCTGCCGTCTGAGGACTCCAGGGGACTTGCAGCTGATGGCTCAGCGAGCACTGGATCGCCGTGAATGGACATATCTGTGCAACGCAGTTACAGATGCGTACAAGGCAGAGTACTGGTGAAGGAAGTTGGCACTGCAATGGTTTGAGCTACATTCTTTGTTGTTGGTACTCTGATTATCCGTATTATCCGTATTCACATGGCCTTTGCCATTCATTCAGTATATTAATGTCATCAATAATGATATTCTTGTTTGTATTAGTTTATGTGACACCATTTTCTATTTTTCTTTGCCTGCCTGCCTGCTGGTGGCCTTTTTTCGCATGGTTCGGTGCAAGCGAATTTGGGCGAGCCCATTGACGCGGGAGCACAAATAATAATAATAATATACATCAGTGTAAATGTTCATACATCAGTGTAAATGTTCATACATCAGTGTAAATGTTCAAATGTTTAGAAAAAAAGGGGGATGAGTGGTGAACATAAAGAGAAAAGAAGAAAAACGCATGCTGAATGAACCTGGGCAATAATTATACATGTAGCTGGTGAGAGACTAAACGTTGCTAACATTGTCAAACAAAATTGCACGATATCGTTCAAACCAAACTGGATCATCCAATAAGCGCTTAAAACCACGATCGAACTGAGAGGTAAACAAAGAGGATTTCAAGTCATTAGGTAGAGCATTAAAAACAGAGCAGCACGAAACACAAAGGATTTTTGACCGAGTGTTGTTCTGCATTTTAAATAAGGGATATCATGTGTGTCGCGATTACGCGTGCTCTGGGTAGATTGCGGGGCTGGGAATAACGATGTAAATACAGGCAAAGGGCGAAGAATATGATTAATGAAAATGAACTTCCCAGTTGACACCAGAAAATAGTAGTCCAGGGGCTTAACATCAAGGTTTTTCAGAAGACCAGAAATACTGTCCCGGCTCGAAGCCCCACAAGCCGCTCGGATAGCTCTATTGTACACGCTTACTAGACGATTGTGATCCTTCGCAGTAATGAGTGTGACGAAGGAACAGATGCAGTACAGAATGTCAGGAAGAACGACAGACAGGATGTACTGGCGGCGTGCAAGTTTGCTCAGTTGCCGGAAGGTGCGACGTAAGACACCCACCTTCCGGGATACTTTTCTAACAATTACATCGATATGCTTGGTCCATGACAGGCAGTTGTCAACTTGGATACCAAGGAGACGAGTTTCGGTCATAAAATTAAGTGGCTCACCTTGAAGGCTAATGACACTTGGGTGCGTCGTGGGGTTTCGGCCGGGGGAAATTGTGCCATGGGGCACTGAGATCTCACAAAAACAGGTTGCATTTTGATATCACATTGTGATTCGCAAATTGATTTGTGTCTGTTAGTTGGAGAGGTACATGTAGATCTACTAGATGCGAAAATGCAACAACAATGCAAACATCCAGCGTGGAGTTGTAAATATTTGACTCCCGCCTGGAATGCATGCGCGATCCCAGCAGTGGCCAGTTGTTTAGGTCTGTACACGTGCTTGAAGCGGCCCACAAGTAAATCAAATAATGGCTTTACCTTTATCAGACGACCATCCTGGCTATCGCATAATGAGTTGGAAATGGTTACGCGTCATGAGGGCCTGAAATCCAGGTGTGCCGATCGTAGCGTCAGAGCTCCAATAATAGGTTCATTTGGGGCTTGTACACCAGACCACTCAGTAAGTACAGTGCAATAAATATCTTCATTCCCGTAGCTATGCAGAAGACGTTACTTCAGTAACGTCTGGCGCTAGCCAGGGTCCACACAGCTTTAATTTGGTATTTGTGTGTTTGTGTCATGCCTGGCGCTATCCCTTATCTCATCTGATCTGTCCCGTACCATCAAACACAGCTGGCCACATACAGCTGGCCGCAATATTCAAATAGGGCTTTCAAACATTTAGACTTTATTTGAAGGATTCTCCAAAAGTAAATGGATACTTATCGGGGGAGTTTCCTGGAAGGGTGGATGAGACGAAAGGGAAGTGAAAAGGGAGAAGGGAAAATAGTACTTAGCAGAAACACTGCTCAGGGAAAACTACAAACGCAAGATCATAACGTGAAGCAACTTGGAAGAATGAGTATGAATGCGAAGTGTATGGGGGAATGCATGTAGGGCGATAGTGCGGGTTCGAATCCCAGGTTATGCCTAAAAAAAATAGGAGAATTGAAAAAATTATAACATCCTTATGCTTTTTTTTGCCCAGGTCATCAATGCAGTAGACGGTGTCGTATTATCCTCAACCGTACCTGTCCCGTACCGTACCATCAAAGACGGCTGGCCACAATGCATATTCAAATAGAGCTTTCAAATGCAAGATCATAACGTGAAGCAACTAAATTACTTGGAAGAATTAGTATGTATGCGAAGTGTATCGGGGGATGCATGCAGGGCGATAGTGCGGGTTCGAATCCCAGGATATGTCTTAAAAAAAAAAGGAGAGATTTATAAGAATTTATAACATCTCTATGCATTTTTTTTGTCTAGGGCATCAAGGCAAAAAAGCATAGCGCTAGCGTAGGGCCGGCTGCATCGTCACGTGCTGCAGGAGAATTGTCTGGTTCTTGCACACAAGTTTTTGCATCAAAAAATATTTTCTCATGATCAGCGTTCGTGTCTGCATCCTGCGCTGGCGTAACTAACTTGTGCTGCTGCGCCCTGCTCAAGCTCGACATCGACATCTCCGATATCCTCAGGGCTGTCCAAGGCGACCACGGCAGTAGGTACGACATCCACCACGGCGGACACGTCCGCGAAATTTGTCCCGTCACGATCGCGCACGGCTATGTCCGCATCTGAGTCATCATTGCCTTCACTATCGCAGCTCCAGTCATCACTGTCCGAGTCCATGATGGACTGGATCACTTCTTCAGCCGACATGCGGCGTCTCGCCATGTCTGAGTGACAGCTAAAGTCAAGAAATTGTTTCGGAATCGAAATTATGTTTTTCGAGCGCGCTGTGAATGTACGAGCCCGCGCCCGTACTTTGAAACACGTTGTGAGGTCTTATCCAGTAGGGGGAACCCCTAGTTTCCCCTTCGAAGAGCCATAATCGGCCACGGTCTGTGACCATGGTGACTGGTGACTAGTGCGGTACGAGGACGAGACATGCGTGTTTGGTCGCACGTTTGGCTGCTGTATGCTAGCCCGGTGGGTGCACCAATCTCCAGCATAACGATGTGCAAAGTCATGATGCTGCACTGGTCCGCTTCTGTCCTGGTTTCACAACCGTGTGCATTGCAGCCGTGAGCAAAACCAGCTCAGGCTGAGAGATCCCTCCGGACGGAGCTCCATCTTGTCCACAGATGTCAGTGCGCTGAGCCTACTCAGATCGGTCATGGTCTTTACTATTGGCATGCCAAAGTGCGCATTCTGAGCCCACTCATCACATCGGGCATGGTCTTTGGCATGTCTCTGGCAGCAGCGCTTGCCTTGACTGCTCACTGCTGTGGGCAGGTTTGATTTCTGCCGTCCACCCACAGCAGTGACATGTCGACTGCTAACTGTATTCCTGCTGTTATTACGATACTTACGATGATGGGTAGCACGGGTACCCTACTACCCGATGACATCCCTCCTTACACTAGTTACAGTGCAGCTGTACTGGTGCCGGGGAAGTACCGGTTGAGAGTTAGTAGACTAGAACGTTCTTATTCTCATGTGGAAATTTGTATATGGCCGAGCCACCTTGTACAGACGGGTATCATATGCCTGGTAACATTCTGGTCTGTTCGTTCTTTGGTGCATTGTTCTCGATCGTCAGAGAGTAAGGGTACGGCATTGTTAGGACTACGGGTCACGAGGGAGCAGAGTTTGCAATGTACTTTTATGTTTATGTATGTATGTCATTCGGATCTTCCCAAGTTGTACATTGTACTGTTGAGATACCGAATTCAAATAAATCAATACCATACCATACCATGTGCCTGTATCAGCTCGTTCCAGGGCTGGGATCTGTTCAAAACGGGTATGCAAGGGATTGGTGTGTGCGTAACTAGCATCAGCTGTGACATTTTCAGATTGCATTAGAAGACGTGCTAGTTGAAATGAATGAAAACTGTATATTGGGTGTATTTTGTCATGGTCTCGAATGAGCCATGAAGATCAAGCAGGACTAATATTATTGCACCACGGCTCACTAGAATCACCCTGGACACATCTGTGCAAGTCCGACATCAGTCATGAGCACTACACCACGTGATGCGAGTTTTCGTTATCGCCTGACCCAAAAGGAAAGCATTGTTAGTATAGTGCAACCCCGTTGCCAACCCGTCTCAAGTACTTGACATTATGTGGTGCGCTCTCCAAGGATTATGCATGTAGATTCTTCGTGTCACCATAGACGCAGCGCGGGATGAAAGATCCTTGAATCACGTGCCCGGATAATCCGAGACTGGATGGGCTTCGCACAGTTTGTATGTCAACATGTGCAGATCATGTGATTAGTGAGTCAGGTTTCTGCTCTACTCAGAGAGTCTACTCCGGCTAGTGCAACAAGCCATCCATTGTCTGCACAGCCACAAGCCTGTCACAACACCGTGTTGTCAAAGACAATCCAAAGAACGAACCTATTCAAATTCAACCAATCCGCAACGTACCTCCTAGCAACCAACCAGTTGCAGTGTCTAAGCTGAATGCTTATGCCACGTTAGAGCGACTACTAGGCGCATGCGTGGAATAAAGTGCCGCGGAGACGCTGCGCTTGTTCAATCACGTACATTAGATGCTGTCGTTCCTCCACTGTCTCTCTGAGATTCACTGTAGTACAATCCATACTGTCTACTGATTCTTTGCTTTTCCTAAGACTAAAGACTTGTGCCAAGATGCCTTCGTACAGATTTCATTCCTCATTGCATTCAAATGATGTTGTCGTGTCCTCGGACGGACGCGAAATGACACGAGTAGCTAGTGGTAGTAGTGCTACCGTCGCGACACAAACCCAACCTGCCGCTGCCGCTGCCGCTCAAACTACGCCATCAGCTCCTGCTCCAAAAACGCATCGAGGTAAGTACGCGTGCCGGCGTGTACGCGTGTATGTGTGCGTGATGTCATGTGTGTGTATGTGTTTGTGTGTGTATGTGTGTGTGTGTGTGAGTGTGTGTGTGTGTGCGCGTGCGTGTGCGTATGTGTGCGTGGTGTGTGTGTGTATCTGTATGTGTGAAGTATACATACCTGTTAACCATGGACTGCTTCTGGCTAGATTAACTCTTGTGTAATCAATGGTGCTAGTGAAGCTTGTATCAGATCCACTCTGATTTAGCCACCCACACTAGTACCAAGTATTACCTTCACTGGGGGCAGGGGGTACCTGCAGTTGGATCCCGGGACGGATACCCTGATGCCGTCAATCCTTTTTCTGCACCTTGTCCTCACCCACTTACTGAGGTGTGGTGAGCCCATAAGTGGGATCATTTCAAATCCACCCTAGTTTGGGGATTTCAGGGGGTGTCGGCCGTTGGGTGATTCAATGGCCAATTGAGTCATCTTTCCAAGATTCCTTTTGAGTCTCTCTCCCCTCTCCCGGGGAGACCCACGTGACCAGTTTTGGCAGCGAGCAAGTAGTAGTCATGGCCCAAATTTGCTCGGCCTACATCGATATTTTGCCGCACAATTTTGCCACAAAATTTTCGATATTCTGCTTGGCATTTCCTTTCTCCGTCGGTATTTTGCTTTGGTTTTGCTCGAGATGAAATGAGTTTTAAGGAAAACTCAACAATACTTGTCGCTGATGACGACGACATTTTTGATTGAGCTCCTGCTGCTGCTCAACTTTCCACTGAAATGTAGCCATGAGTCTGTTTTTATATTTATATTTATTTCACTCAACTCGTGGTTCATGACCAATTGGCACGCAAAGTGCGAGAGAGGGGTGATAGCCAACCACGGCAGGGGTTTTCTACAACTTCTGCGCTTGTTTTCAACCTTGGTGACTGATTGTGTTGAGAAAGTCCCTATGAAGCCTTGGAATTTTCGAAAAGCCCACCAAAACTCGATATTTTGCTCAAAACTTGCCGGAAACTTGCGCATCCGATATTTTGCTCAAAGAATTGCTAGCAAATTTGGGCTATGACTAGCAAGTAGAGAGACAAGTATGTGTGTGTGTGTGTTGTTGTTGTTGTTGTTGTTGTTGTTGTTGTTGTTGTTGTTGTTGTTGTTGTTGTTGTTGTGTTTATTTCAATTCGCAAACCAAACGGGCAGATCTGCCCAATGAAAAGGTGGCGAATGCAGATAGAAAGCAGTAATAAATAAAATTGGGGACTGATGTAATTAGGATAGAGGTGGAGAAAAACTAAGCCAGCTGATCATCAAACAGGACGTTTGGTACTCTAGGTACTAAGGGTGTGCGGGATCATGCTGGCGCGGAACTGGCGGAGCGTGGAGATGGCACGTATGTCACTGGGTAAGGTGTTCCACAGCTGGGCGCCCCGGAACGCGAGGCAACCCTTGCCGAACCTGGTGGAAGCTGGCGGTTGGCGCAGACCCATGGTGGAGTGCAACCTAGTTGGGCCAGCTGGCGAAGGGACTAGGAGGGCTTGCAGATCAGAACTTGCGTGCCCATTCCGAGACCTCCAGACGAGAACGATGAACTTCTGCCTGAATATCTCGGATACTCTGTAGGTGTCCAATTGCAGCAGGAGGGTACGCGCGGAGGTGTGATGCGAGAGTCCGAAAACCGCCCTTGCCGCCCGATTCTGCATGACTTGTAGCCGATCCAATTGGTTGGCAGTAAGAAGCGGGGAAAACGCATTGGATCCGTACATCAGGTCAGACATGATGATAGCTTTAAAGTAGAGAACTCGGCTCTGATGAGTCAAGCAGCGACGCAACCTCCATAGTGCTCCGATCCTCTGGGCCAGTCGAGCGGTGCAGCGATCAACATGGGGCGTCCATGACAGATCCGAGTCGAGGAGCACTCCAAGATACCTGGCCGCAGTAACGACAGGAATCGGCGTTTCATGACAGTTTACATTGATCGTATGCTGGGGCTGCTGAGGCAGCCTGTTGGGGTATACAGGGATCACGTGGCTCTTGGCTGCATTCAAAATGAGACCACGGGTCTGCAACCAGTCAGCAAGTGCAGAAACCGAGGCCGATAGCGTAGCAGATACCGTGTCCAGGGATGTGCTGCTGCTGATCAGCGCGATGTCATCGGCAAATTGAACTGATGAAGACTGGTTAGCTATGGTTGGAACTTCGCGGGTGTAGATACTGAAAAGGATCGGTCCAAGAACAGAACCTTGTGGCACGCCACAGGATGGTGCAGAAATGGCACTCTGATCCCGTCCAATACAGATACGCTGAGTACGGCCCGACAGATAGGCGGAAAACCACTTTAGGGCTGTCCCTGTTATGCCGATATCGAATAGGTCCTGGAGTAACCGTTCATGACGAACCTTGTCGAATGCCTTTGACATATCTAGAAGGCATATGCCAGTACACAAACGCTTGTCCCGTGCAATAAGAATACGATTTAGCATAAGTACCAGGGCATCCTCCGTTGAGTGGCCTGCGCGGAATGCAAACTGAGTCGTGGGGAGGGTACCAGATATGTCCAGAAACTGGGCTAGCTTCTTTTGTACGACTTTCTCCAAGAGTTTTGATGGTATGGGAAGTAGGGACACTGGACGGAAGTTAGTGGGAATAGACGGGTCCCCAGCTTTGAACAGCGGGATAACGTGTGCGAGTTTGAAGGCTGTGGGGACAGTGCCATTGACAAGCGAGGCATTAAACAACGTGGCCACGGACGCAGCTAGAATATCGGCACAGCACTTCAGAAGGTGACCAGGTATCCCGTCGCTTCCTGTTGCTTTGGCAGGATTGATTTGTCGGAGAAGCCGTTCTCCTTCGCCAAAAGACACTTGCGGTAATTCTGACATTGCAGTCTGAGGCTGTGGACCTTGCGGTAGCGGGATGCTGTGAGGACGGGCCTTGTCTGTTACTACTGCCTGGAAGACTGACGAAACTTCTTCAATGGGGCAAGTAGGCTCCACACGTACTCTCTTCCTGTTCGTAACGGAGTTTATGACGTTCCAGAGCTTACGCGGGTTCTGACTGGACGCGGCACATTGCGCTCGGAAGAAATCGTTGCGCTTTCGGCGATAGGCATTTCTGGCGCTTGAGCGTGCTTGCTTGAACTGTACGTGAAGATTCTGGTTTCCCTTATCGCGTAGCCACCGTCGATGTAGCTGGTTTTTACGTTGGTTGAGCTTGTGGAGCTCTCTGTCGGACCAGGGCGGATGGGATTTGCGGTTGGAGGATACATAGCGGATGGGTGCATGCTTGTCCACGACAGCCAAGAACTTGGTGTGCCACGATGCCCACATGGTGTCCACATCCCGCGTGTTAGTAAAATCATCCAGCCCTGCGGAGCTGACATCCCGACGGAATTCGCAGAGGTTCACCGACCGAGTATTTCTCTGAGCTCGGACCCGCTCTACTTCCTGCGGTGACACGCTGCATGCGAGAAACCTGAAGGTGCAGGTTAGCCTCAATCCCAAAGTGGTCGCTAATGGTCAAAGGCAGGACGTGGCACTCACTGATGTCTTGACTAGCTGAAAGAATGAGATCAATAGTTGTACCAGATGGGCACGCCGGTGAGATACGAGTCGGAGCATGAACGTGATTAGTGAGGCCGTAGCAGTTGCAAAGTTCGAGAAATTTCCGGGCGATAGGACAAGGTGGGTAGGGGGTTGAAACATTAACGTTAAAATCGCCAATGACTGTGATGCTTGGGTTGTCCACAAAAGCCCTGTGCAGCTGCTCTTCAAAATTCTGCCAGTACAAGATGGGCTCGTCAGGTGGCCGGTAAAAGCACCCAACTAGTTGTCGCCTTCGTCGCCCTTTGACTTCGACCCAGGACGATTCAATGTTAGCGTCGGAAAGCTCTGGGCGCGGTTTTACCTAGAGTCCGGAACGAAAATAAAAGCATACACCGCCACCTCTGCGCACTGGACGATCGTGCCGTATCACACAGTAACCTGGTATATCAATATCACGTGTGTGTGTGTGTGTGTGTGTGTGTGTGTGTGTGTGTGTGTGTGTGTGTGTGTGTGCGTGGTGTGTGTGTGTGTCACTGTGTGGGTGTGATGGGTGACCTTGAGTGCGGTGAAAAGATCACTTCTCATCTGAATGGACGTGTGGCTCTTTCTCTCTCCCACAGTCTACTGGATATTGTCTGAACACACACTAGTAGGCATGTGAGATGTGTACGGTAGATATCTGTAACTTGCTTATAGAGAATTCAAGAGAATGCCACGTCAAAAGTATCTAGTACTCCACGTACAGTGCTGCTCAAAGAAATCCAGTCACGTCACTCAAGTTTGCACCTTGCATTATTTCCCAGCCCTGTGTTAGCAGGTCTAGGGCTGCGGAAAGTCCGGCGCGTACTCGAGTGAAGAGAATGGATTTCATTGAGCAACGCTGTCGTATCCAATATAAATACGGAGTGAATTGTCAGATTGTCAGAGTGTTTTGTCGATAGAAGCGCTCTGGCATAGGATTCAGTTTAGGCCCACCAGAACATACTACAGTGTAGCATGATGTAACGCAGTGGGTGGTGGTCGCACTACTAGTAGCATGAAACCAAGAAAGTAGATCAGCTATTGTGGATCACGTAGGAGAGTATGAATGAATGTGAGTTTCCCTACTGTATGCCACATGTAGACCAGGTACATAGTCGCATTTGTATTCCACTGGTTTGGGCAGTGGAGATTTCTGTGCCCTTGCACATGGCTTGGTTGATCACAGTATGACCGTGTTTGGGGTCAGCAGATCATGTCGTGATCTCGACCGGCCGTGCATTGCATAGGCCACTGTACTGATCACTTAGTTGATTCCAAATTTGCACTTTGTTTCGGGTCTGTAGAGTATTGTGTGGTGTCTCTGGTCTAGTCCCCAGTATATCTACTCACCAGTGCTACGCACAGATACAGATGCTATGCAGCAATGACTCTGATGTCTGAGCTCATGAGACTTCGCTAGAGTCCTTGTTGTATCAAAATCGACGTTTATCTATGACGTAACAATTAGGGCCTGTCCAGACTAGGTAGAAAACCACGTAAACACGCCGTAAACATGCTTGTTGCCAAGGTGAGTGACGAAAAATGGCCGATAACGGGGAACGTGGGATTCACGCGGAACGTGAGTCGAGGACCCCTGTACAAAGAACGTTTCTCATCTACGTGCCGTTTTCGCAGTGTTTGTTGTGTGAGAGTCGATCGGTGGAGTTTTCGGATCGCACTTTTTCTTGCTGTTTCCAGCTGCTGCATTGTTTTTGCTTTGCCGTTTTCATAATGCCACACGTCCGTTTCAGCTACGACTCTGAGGCGACATTGATACAGTCGTGGCTGGACATGCAGAGAAATCCCGGGGTCTGGTGAAGAGGAAGGTGTTGTAGAGAGAGAGAGAGATAATTCACTGACGAGAGAGCATTTGAAACTGTTTGGATAGGAAGTAGAACCCTGTTTAGTTGTGATGAACGAAATTGACGGCCTGAAGGCCAAAGCCAGGGACTTTTACTGGAAATACACGGCGGCCACAACCATTAGTTCATCAAGCGATGCTATAGCGGGCCCCGACCGTGACGCTGCGCTGCCGCGAGAGTGTGGCCAAATTTCCGTACCTGGAACAGAGTTCAGGGTGATGTTCCTTGCGCTCGGCGTCAGTACTGCCATCGCAGGGCCGCCACTCGTTTTTGTAGCTAGCTGGAAGACCAAGCCAGGGAGTGCTTGCCTGGTCTACACGCGACAACTACAAGTCACTTGTGTGTCTTCCAGTGGCAGTAGTGCATCCAAGGACAAAAATGAACAGGTACACGTAGTGGTACAGGTGACAGAGCGAAGTGTGGACAGCGCACCGCGTGTACGTCACGTACTCTGAAACGGCACGCCGTTTTTATTACCTAGTGTGGACAGGCCCTTACACGTGTGTACGTAGATCTACGTAGGCTAGGCTGTGTACCTAGCGAACACTGCACTAGAAAGAGTCAGTACCGATTACAGTCATCCACAGTAATGGGGCTGTTAAGTGTGACGTCACGGCCCCTTCGATACGCATAGCAACGGAGAGCACTGGGGACAAACAAAAGTCGCGTCCTCTGGATGGAACCAGTTGTGAAGGGCAACAGCATCTAAATGACTGGAGAGAGAGCAGTTTTTCTTTGCTTTTTCGTCAAGCGATTGTTGTCGCTCTTTACTCCTTGTTCTTTCCTCTACAAATCTCCTGTAGTCGTCGAGGGCCTTCATAATGGCTGTGAAATTGGCTGCCCACTGTAAAACTCCGTGTTTGAGAGTGCTTTGAAGATTCTTCGCCTCCTGATGGATCAAAGTACGAGCGCTCCCTGTGGATTCGATTATATGTAGGTGAGTTGTTCAAGAAATCAGTGTCTTATTTCTGTCTCTGCCCTCACGCTGGCACAATATCAGCCTCTATATCCATGACAGCCCGCACCTCTCGTAGACTGCATGACTTAGCTGTATTCTCGCCCTCCGTGGTGATTGAAGACCCATGGAAGAAGTTGTTCAGAATGATGTCCTGAGAATATAAAATAAAATAATTCCAGGGAATTGTTACAGGGTATTTTGGAAGGATGGAGAGAGAGAGAGAGAGAGAGAGAGAGAGAGAGAGAGAGAGAGAGAGCACTGTTTGAAGTGTTTGTCTCACTGTAGTTACTCCAGATTATTGAATGGTGTATGATCTACTCGATATTTTCCGCAATGGTTTTTCCTGATTTGCGGGATCTCTTCTTTTGCTGTTTGCGTGTTTACAGGAAGTGACTGTCTGGTGTATCTGCACCAGATCCTGGGGAAATGAAGTCAGATGCAGAGGCAGGGTCGTCCAGTGATGCAACACTGCCGTTCTATGTGCAACGGCACCGCTAATTCCCCCAGCGAAAACACAAACACGTGAAGAGACTACAGTATTGACCGTTCTGGTAATGAATCGTGACTGCTCGGACAGTCGATAATCGAAACACAGAGCACCAGCATGATGTTTTCATATTGGGAACCACACACCAGCTCAATTCTCAAGCCCAAAAATTGATTAATACAAAACACAGAGCGACGCAACAAGAGATCATCCGGCAACCAAACCAACCTGGGTCCGATGCACTGAATAGTCCTGAAATACGCAGGCCACACAAAGCAGTGCAAGCACAGACTGTTACAAGGTACATGCATTGCAGAACAAAGTGTAACCAAAGATATACAGGGTTATAGCTGCACACTCGTGCATGTGCTCGCTCAGCCCAAGAACACGCAGGATGATAGAAATAATCCGGGGGAAACACGCTAATGTCATGACCGGGGAGTGGGCCAGACATACTCTCAGGATTCTACAATTCCAGGTTCTTTACGGAAATATACCAGAAGTCCAGATACCCATTCCTCACCCTCACCACACAAGAAGACCAAAGCTTCACTCTAGGACCAAGCTCAAACAACAGAGAAGCAACAACAACAACAACAACCAGCGATCGATGCAAAGCATCAAGCTATATACCACAAGACCTAGTAGCGTGCACGGCGCGGAGCGAGCGAGTAGCCAGCAAAGCAAGAATAGTGATAGGTTTCACAACACTATTGATCGACAAGACACATCGCCGCCACGGCAAACACTTCATAAAGACACATGTATAAGCAGACGGAATACAATACAGATAATGACATTGTAGCAACACACGGACACGACACTAGCACCGAAGTAAGCATCAAGACGTAAATAGTGCAGCTCTGAAAAAGTAAAAACTACATTGACATGTACATTGGTGTGCCGAGTAGTATCATCCTTGATCACCCATCCAACCAAGACGTTATCAGGTCCCAGACGCCGAGATCCCACGCCGAATGTGAAGTGCATCTAGCCTTGAACCTGTTGCACAAGGCACACACATTATGACAAAAAATGACATCCACTCCGATTATTTCCAGAGGCCAATCATAACAGAACACAGAAATGAAACCACGGGCTCAACAAAGTAAACGCAAAGGAAATTAGTTAAAATAATCCATGAAGTGCTATTTTAATTCCAGCGCTGACTGCAGTGTGGCGTCATGGCCCGATACCCGCTGAGCATAGACACAAACTCCATTTGACAGGGGCACGACATACTATTTTCAGTATTTTGGAATAAAGTCTGACAGGGGCGTAGCACCCGCTACGACTGGTACGACCATGGCCGCACCATTTTCGAAAAGTGTGGTCCGTCTGGAACGTGCAAAACCGTAATAAAAAATCAGGATCCATCGATATTTGCATATGCGCATCAGACCTTTTTCTAGACTCGTACTTGTAGATCTGTTATGCATCTGCAGTCGTACTGAGTACTGTACTCGACTCGACTGCACACTGCGCCAGAAGTTCCCAGAACGCAGGATTTTGGGTCTTTTACAAAATTTTCCCGGAGGGGGGGGGGGCGGACCCCCTCCAACACGGCCGTCCGCCACACCGACCTTCGGTCGTACCACTTCCAAAACCCCTCCTACGCCCGAGTCATAAAGTACAGCACTCCAATGACATGACGGACACCTCGTGCAAATGCGTGGTCTGTTCATCCGGCCAACTTGGCCACACATGAGAGTGTGTGCATGTACGCGCGCACGCAAGCGCGCACGTGCACACACACCATGTATTCGGTGCGTATGGCGTACCTGTTGCGGAGATAATGAAGATGGAATCATTATCATGATGTTACATGTACATGTACAGTGTATGTTTGAGTGTAAAGTAAATTTTATTTTATTACACATTTCTTCCACACAACTTTCTCCACATCTTCGCATTTCTCATAATCCATCCATCTACACTCCGTCTCAGTTGAGGAAAATTCTCCCAGGTATACACTAGTCACCACAGAGATGTGATGACATTGGGATGGGCCCCAAGCACGACTGCACTCTCCAGTTACAATTATAATTTATTTGTCCAGATTATCTGTGAAGACAAAATGCAATGCATAGCGGCAATCGATGGATGAAGAGAGAGTTTGTAAATACACATATCTTTCCACTTGTTCAGGAGCTTACCTTTTGGAGTTCACATCGTTTACACGATCTCTTATGCTGTCTTGCACCTTGGCTTTGTTGACCATGGATACGCCATCCCAGAAGACATTCTACAGGAGCTACTAATGCAGAGCGTTTTTCACGCTCGATCTACCTCGTCACGCCAATAAAATCCTCCGTGACACTGGCTACAGTCACAAGAGACGTCTCAGTAAGGTAATGAGCACGACAACACCGTCGAGATCAAGGACAAAGAGAAAACAAAACACTCACTGAAAACAGCAAAGAAGAAACGAAGAAATGTACACGATTCCTATATGTTGCCACTGACAACTGGTTCGGTGGAGACGACGCTACTTTTGTTTGTCCCCAGTGGGATCGTTGCTATGCGTATCGAAGGAACTGTGACGTCATCACTTAACAGCCCCATACATTTTGTATCAGACTATGAACAGTCTACTGCAGTACTGCTGTCTAGTAATGCATATAATGTTCCTTACATCAACAGAGCGCTAGCAAACTAGAGGTCAGAGTTCAAAGGTTCAGTCAGTTGATCCCTCACATTTTCCAGTCGCGCAGCAGAATACTTTCTGGTTGCTCGTCAAGACTTTCGTCCGTTCCTTGCAGTTCATTAGTAGTCTTGTTCATGTCCAAGGAACATCAGGGAGGAGGTTTTGAAACTCAGCCATAGGTACTGGACTAGAGTATTTGCATGTTGATGTTTTACTTCAGCAGTGCCCTTCCTCGTCGTGTAAAGTTTCAATTGAAATATTTCCAGCAATTCAGTTAGTCGGGTGGGAGCAGTTCGTAGTGTTTCTTGTCATCAATGGAAGAGAGCCGGAAGGGGACCATCCTAGACTGTGAGTAAATACAGCTTTCTACTCAATAGCTACGCTTTGCCGTCGTTAATCTCCTATGCTTTTGTTAGTATGAATGTCGTTTTTCGTGAACCTTCGTCCCTGTCCTAGTCTCGTGTCACAACGTGACGGCCATTCACTGACCTAAATTGGTTGTTTGTTGAGGTGTAGAGTAGTTTTCTTTCGTCGAGAGTTGTCGTAGGCAGTGGTAGTAATGAGGTGTAACATTTGTCGGTCGTTTCTGTAATTTTGTTGAAGAACGTAAATTGCATGTGTTGCAGTGTGTTGTGAAGACACCCCCGTGATATCGTTCATTGATCGTCTTCACCTCTTTCAGCTACAGTCAATGACAACCATATATAGCTGTATGTACGGTTATCGTGACGTTTGTTTGTGAATGATGGTTGCTAGGATACCTGTACCACGCTGTACTCTGTGGCGACAAATGTCATTACTTGCCACTGTCCAAATAAGGGACGCCTCTATGACGTCATGACGTGTGTGTCTGTGCATGTGCCAACGAAAGTGAAGAGGTGAAAATGTCATTCGTATGTTGTGTCTGTTTGTACGGTACAGATCTTGAAGAAACTGTGAAGAAATTTGCTGATGCAGTTTCTGATAAAGGACGAGCGATACATGAGATATGGGCGTTGGTGTTCAACGTCCTTCATCTCCTGCACAGCACTGGAGCAGAGAGAGTTAGATGGTCACCACCTGGTTGGGGAACAGACACATTCTCCTACACACTAGGAGTAAGTAGAGTGTTGATGTAATGTGTGTACATGTGTGCTCTTGCACGTGCGAGTGCCCGTGTGTGTGGGTGTGTCCACGTGTGTTTGTGCGTGTATGTGTCTATCTGTCTGTCTGTGTAGGTGCAGGCACCTGTGTGTGTGTGTGTGCACGTGTGCATGTCCGTGTGTACGTGTGTGTGTGTGTGTGTGATCACGTACCCGTATGTGTATATGCATGTCCAAGTGCTGACACACCGTCTTCTTCTCTGTACCATTGTCAAGTGACTGATGACCAGTGGAAATTGTTTCTGTGACATAACATTACAGGATGTGCAATTGCTGCAATATTCTCTCAAGTTGGAATAAAGTTATGACAATTTGACTGGTTTTGACCTCTGAGGTCAATCAGTTGGTTTCCTAACTCCTAATGGCATTGTACTGAGAGTATTGTTGCTGTCATTGTTGTAATTGTCGAATTGTTTCTTCTGTTTTGTATATCACATAGGTCACGATGATACTTGTTCTCTGCCATTGTGGAGAACATTTGAGTGATGAAATGATGCAAGGTCTTGTCGACTTTATTCTGGACGTCAAGTCAGTTGATGTCAATGAAGAAGATAAGACCGACGTAAGTTGTTGTGTTTTGGATTGTGACAAGAGACATTGTCTGTGTTCAGTATACTGTGCTGGTTCACTGCCATGTGTACGTCTTTGCTGGTGTCTCTGTGTGTACGTCTGTTTCCTTGTTGGTGTGTTTGGCCTGTGTATATGTACTGCATGTTCATCTGTGTGTTTGTGTGTGTATGTACGTGTGTGTGTGTGTGCATGTGTGTGTTTGTGCATGTGTACACGTGTGTGTGTGTGTGTGTGTGCATGTGTGTGTGTGTGTGTGGACATGTGTGTGTGTGTGTGTTCAGTACAACTGGACTCTCTTACACCATTGTGTATATACAGGCAATGCACGTTTAGCAAAACTGCTCATCGAACGCTGCGCTTGCCTCAACGCACAGACCAGCGAGGTAAGAAATAGTGTTAGTCTAGAGTCTGGTTGTCTCAACTGAATTCTCAGTTTGTATGTTCTTACATGTCTGTGTGTATGTCTATAAGACAATCTGTTCATCGTTCGTACTCGTATGTCCTTGTGTCCACGTGTGTTCATGTTTTCACTCTCATCTGTTCATCAGAAACGACATTATCATTGTACAACCTGTGTTATCTTGTAGGCTCACGTGTGTTCTTGTGCACATGTGTGTGTGTGTGTGTGTGTATGTGTGTGTGCCAATGGGTGTGTACTCACATGTGCACACAATGACTTGTAATTCTTCATGTTTGTGCATGGGCCTGTGGTCCTGCATGTGTGTTCATGTGTGCACGTGCATTGTTGTGTTTGTTCTAGTTGTCCAGGTCTGTGTCGGTGTGTGGTTGTAGTAGTTAGTGTAATGGTTGTATAGCAATACTCATCACATTCTCTCTTTCTCTACAGTCACGATGGACTCCACTGCACAATGCAGTCCTCAGTAACAAGATCAATGTTGTCAAGGTGATACTGTCACATGCCAGTGACGGTGTCACCTTGGATACCACACTGCGTTCCCGTGTAAGTATTTGATTGTGTGTTGTTGTGAAGTGAACAGTAACTACTCGGCCTTCTCACCTGTCCTGCCTCTCTCTCTCTCTCTCTCTCTCTCTCTCTCTCTCTCTCTCTCTCTCTCTCTCTCTCTCTCTCTCTCTCTCTCTCTCTCTCTCTCTCTCTCTCTCTCTCTCTCTCTCTCTCTCTCTCTCTCTCTCTCTCTCTCTTTCTTTCTCTGAATGGACAGAGTGTTTGATTGTGTTTGTTGGAACGAGTAAGGAGTGATGAGTTGTTGTTATTGTAACGAGTACAAGGAAGACATGCAGTTGTTCCTGACGAAGGGCTGTGATGATCATGTCTTTCCCTCCTCGTCATTGTTTCTTTCGGAGTTTTTTTGAAATTTTTCGAAGAGTGAAGTGAATGGAAGTGCTTGGATACAGTTCTAGGACAGGGATGTCAATGAGGGAGATGTTGTTTATCATGTGAGTTATTTCATGAGGTCATTGGCTAGTTCTCATCGTCGATAATGTGCTTGTTTTGCTGCATTGTTCATTTTCGTGAGATTGTAAATTTCTTCGTTTTTTGAATGAGTATATCTGTTGTTCACGGTTGTGCTTGTGATGTGTTGTTGTGCTACTCAGAGTGGTTACACAGCATTGGACATAGCAAAGTACTTTGGTCATGATGAATGTGTGCAGCTTCTCACACAGTATGAAGCTGACAAGGTATGTGTTTATTTTGTAGTTCATGAGTGAGTAAATATGTATGTAGTGTGTAGAGTGTGTAATGGTGGAGTATGGCTGAATCATCGACTGTCATTCAACCAGAAATGCCAACCAACTGGGTCTGTTTTGCGTACTCGGCCTTTTGATTTTCTGCACTTGTCAGTGTTTTGCGTGCTAACGTGTACTGACGTGTGTTGTCGGTTTTGACACACATATGCACACCGCCCTGAACTTGTACTGCAAGATAGATGTGACTTGTACCCACGACAGAATGTTTTGTGATGTCTGAAGTCGTAACATGGCAAGCACTCACTTTGCAAGGATATTCATTACTCAGCTTGTGCTTGCCATGCTACTACTACATGGTTACGTAAACAAATTCACGGTTCACGTGAGACTCGGCTGCAGGCTGAGTTTTCCGTTTCCGTAGGAACGCCACCACCCTCTAGGATCAACTTAGCTGATAATTCCTTCAAGTTTTCCCTTCTTTTGCTCAAATTCCGTATTGTGGATGTAGGAGTGATTTTCAGTACAATTACGGGAAAATACGGAATGTGGCCAGCACTGCTAAACTATTATTTGCGTGATATGGTCACGCAAACAACTCTTTACCAGTGTATATATATATACCTGTAGATTAGAGAGATTGAGATTCTATGGGGAGAACTGGGCACTGTGAGGATGTGTAGGGGCACATTGGGGGGGGGGGGCTGTGAGGATGTGTAGGGGCAGGGTGGGGGGAGCTGTGAGAATGTGTTGGGGCAGGGGGGTGAGGATGTGTAGGGGCAGAGGAGGAAGGGGGGGGGTCTGTGAGGATGTGTAGGGGCAGGGTGGGGGGGAGCTGTGAGAATGTGTTGGGACAGGGGGGTAAGGATGTGTAGGGGCAGGGAAGGGGGCTGTGAAGATGTGGAGGGGCGGGGGGGGGGGGGGGGGGGGGCTGTGAGGATGTGTAGGGGCAGGGGGGCAAGTAGGATGTGTAGGGCAGGGGCTGTGAGGATGTGTAGGGGCAGGGGAGGGATGTGAGGATGTGTAGGGGCAGGGGGGGGGGGGGGGCTGTGAGGATGTGCTGGTTGTAGGGGGGGGGGGGGGGGGGGGCTGTGTGGATGTGTAGGGGCAGGGCGGCGGGAGTTGTGAGGATGTGCATACATGTTTGTGTGTGTGGGAGAGGGGGGGGGGGGGGGTGCAAGAGTGTGTGTGGGGGGGGGGGGGGGGGGAGTGCACGTGTGTGAGTGTGGGTGTGGGTGTGTGTGTCTGTGTGTGTGTCTGTGTGTGTGTCTGTGTGTGTGGGAGAGGGGGGGTGCAAGTGTGTGTGTGTGGGGGTGGGGGGTGGACGTGTGTGTGTGTGGGGGGGGGGGGGTGGTGCATGTGTGTGTATGTGGGGGGAGGGGGTGCAAGTGTGTGTGTGGGTGGGGGGGGGGGGGGGGTGCACGTGTGTGTGTGTTTGTGTGTGCATGTGTGTGTGGGGGGGGGTGCATGTGTGTGTGTGAGGGGGTGGGGGGTGCACGTGTGTGTGTGTGGGGAGGGGTTGCACGTGTGTGTGTCGGGGGGGGGGGGGGAGGGGGCACGTGTGTGTGGGGGGGGGATGCACGTATGTGTTTGGGGGGTGGTGCACGTGTGGGGGGGGGGGGGAGGGTGTACGTTTGTGTGGGGGGGGGGGGGGTACACGTGTGTTAGTCTATCCTGACTATCCTGTAAACTTCAAGTAACTGAACTGACTATATTCTTGGTTTTTTGTCCAGGTAATCTATGGCCAGGCAAAGAAGAAAAAGCTAAACACACGTTCCAACTGACTCTGGTAAGTGCGAAACTGACAATTGATACTGCTTGTTCTTGACGGAAAATATACAGTCGTCGCTCTCTATTCCGGCACCTTTTGCAACGGAATTTTCTGCTGGATAAACAAGGGTGCTGGATTATCAAATCCTGTCCTCGCTTAACCCGGCCTACGTACTAACATACATGTTTGTGTCGTACGTCAAAACGCAGGGATTTTCCGCGTCAATCCAAGTACTTTGTGGAGTGCATGTCTATACAGTGCATAGGATATTCCCAAGTTTATGTTACATGTGTAGAATGCTCCCTGATAAGTAGTTCATGCACTGACCAAACTGACATAGCTGTGCTCCGGTACGGTATGCGATGTACAACTGCTGGATTAGAAAACCGATTTATGTGCAGTTTGAGCGTTTTGTTGCGGAAAATCGCTGCTGGAGGTGGAATTCAAGTGCCGGATTAAAGCGTAGAATATGAACTGAAAAAATCGGTTTTGCCAGAAAGTGTGCTGGTTCGCAAGGGTGCTGGATAAATAAATGCCGGATCAGAGAGGGACGACTGTAACCAGAAATTCTGAAGCCATCTTATGCCCCCACCCCACCCCCACCCGAACTGTCATCCGGCCTGTTGTCATCGTTACCGTAATGGTGGATTTCTCTGTCTTGTGATCAATATTGATTTAGCATAATAGGCTGATATTTATTGTACATCTCACCCCTTGGAGTACTGAATTAAACTGATTGAATGAGTGTGCGTTCTCTTCTCTTGTGATTTTGCTTTGTAAACAGTTGCCATGCCGACTCAGAAAGTTGAAACGTAGCCAGATGAGGACCCTAATTTACACGAAACCCGTGACCTGATTTTACATGTATGAACACGTCGCCATTTTCTACCGTGTGTAGTCAATTCTACGGCGTGTTGTCAATTCTACCGCGTGTAGTCAATTCTACCGTATGTGTATAATAATTAAACTGTACATTCTTGGTAAATTGCTGGACGTAGGCAGTAAACTTACCAGCTGATTGATTTTTTTCTTATATTACACATTGTCTGCTGAATACATTACATACATTATATTTTCCATACTTTTTACCGCTAAATTTCATGAATAATTCTGATTATTGCTCTCGCCTGGTGTATAAACTGCATACAAGTGGCTAATTGGTGTTCTATGCCTGTTTACAATGTGATGTAAGTCCATTTTTTCATTTTCTTCTTTAAGACATTCTCCGCATGCTCTGGTTTCCTTTCCATGTACCTGTAGGTGTGTTGGGTGTGACTAATATTGGAATGATTTGACTAAAGGTTGACTAGCCGTTGTGTACTTCTAATGACCCCTTCCTATGGTACATTACTGACTTTGTCACTGGCTCTGCTTTTGTTTTTTAATATCTACACATACCTGTATTGGAACCTCTGATAAGATGAACCCCATGGGAAACCGCAAGGTTTGGTTTTCTGAAACTTTAAAACTTGCTTCAAACTAGGCCAATGTTTCGGTCTGTGCTCCCACACCGACTCCGATAAATATGAAATCGGCTCAAATCGGCTTACTGTGTCGGGCGAATCCAGCTACCTGTTCACACACACACACACACACACACACATACACACACACACACACACACACACACACACACACACACACACAACCGCACACACACACACACACACACACACACACACACACACACACACACACACACACACACACACACACACACACACACACACATGCACACACTAGGCTCCGGCGGGTTATGCTCGCGAAATCATGGAATTATGCCGGCATAATCCGCCGGTGCCTAGCACACACACGCACGTACACACACACATACAAATTGACGCTCCGAGCGATTGTGTTGTAAGCATGTCTGTCACGCACGCACACCTGGCACACAGCTGTACTGGACCTTAGTTTTTTTTTTAAAGAATCCAACAGCCTCTTTTACTGGCAAAATGAAAAGCAACACAATGATGAGAAATCAAGAGGGGTAAACAATTTTTTTATCAAATCTGCTGACACACGCATACACACACATACACAAGATTTTAATGATACTCAGTACTTAATTAAACGGCGGAAGTTGCAAAGAGAGTTAAATCAATGCAGTCTTCGCGTTTGCGAGGACAGTAGACTGATCATTGTCGCGGCACATCCGCCGGGCACCGCGAAGGCAGGAAACACTGGAACGCAGGAGACCAAAACCGAGGCGACAACGCAGCAACGCCATCACCATTGCGTATGGCTCTCCGATTTTCTCTGCAGACAGAGCAGCAATTCGCTTGAGAAGAGCGGAAGCAGCTCGACCGGCTTCGCCAGCGGCCGAGAATACGACTGGTACGAAGGAGGCTCGCTCAACTTCTTGCACCCTCTGACCATACCTGCGACACTTCTCGCGCTCGTGGGTCGGGTAGCGAGCAGCGAGAGAAGAGGAACGGTTCCAAGGAGCAAATGGGTTAAACACCCGTATATCAAGATAAACGCGTTCAAACCGTCCCCCCACACGCCACTCGCCGCCACATCCAGACGGGCCTGATCCTCGTTGGGCGCCGTCCGGTAGCGGAAAAGCTCGCCGGTGAGGGGTTGGAGATGAGGCTCTACTTCTACGCTGTGTGCCACTTCTTCAGTTGGCCAGTGATGATGTCCCGTACCTCATTGTGGCGGAGCGTCGGGAAACCGACGGTGGGGAAGGAGAGAGCATGCTCAACAGAGAAGGTGGCACCACAGACACAAGTAGAAGGGAGCCGTGCCGGGTAACAGCCATACCGCAATGCCAGACCATCGCGAAAATCAATTTATTTTATTTTTAATGTAGAAGAGAAAAGGACATATGGATACGAGTTAAGAGTAACTCTCAATCACTGTAACATGATACTATATACAGTCAGAAAGTGCAATAACTAGGCACAAAACTGACAGAGTACTGAGACATTCGACTTCTGACTGTATATAGTATCATGTTACAGTGATGGAGAGTTACTCTTAACTCGTATCCATATGTCCTTTTCTCTTCTACATTTATTTATGGCTCAAAATCCGAGTTTATTTTTAATATATTTTAATTTTTTACTAAGGCCACAGCTTTCAATCATGACATGCAAAGTAGCGGTGCAGCATCGCAGGCATGAATCGTTGACGTTGTGACGGGGTCTGCTGTGCTCCACCGACCTAGGCCAGGGTCTCGGCTTCACTGCACAGCAAACGCGTCGATCTTCTGCTGGTCTCTCACTCTAGCTCTCAACGTGCACCGCAACAGACTGTGACAGCATGCAGTGCATGAGTTACACCCGGTGTACAGCACACCACCCAGCTGCATGCTCACCTGCGCGTGTGAATACAATGAGCTCTTAAAAATTATGTACCCATTCGTAGGGAGTTAGGGACACGTGGAGGGTATTGAGGTGAGAGAAATGTTTCGTCAGTGTCTGGGGCCATAGCCTAGATGGAGTAGTTCTGACATCGCTGCTCATAATCAATCCTAATAGCCGTGAATGTTGGCCTGCTGACCTGAATTTCGTTACGCTCTGTGGCCTAGCAATAATATACTTATCACATTCCTCCTTTCATGCAATTGTTTCCAGTACTTGAATTGTGTTCTACTCCCTTGTGGCCTAGATGAAAGCACACTCTTTTGTGGCTAAACACATCACTCAATCCTATAACGCACACCAAACGGTCTCCTTGCTGGAAAAAAACCCTCCGATTCTCCAGACATTAACATAGTTTCGGGCCTGGCATCATCAGGTCACCGAGTGCAGTCAAACAGTCCTAGAAAAGTCGATTGTGGTGGCTTGTTAATGCACTTTACGGTCCAAATGCAGCCTCTCCCAAGTGTTCTTCTATGCAGCCCCCATCTCACAAGTGTTATTTAGAGAGTCCTGTTGCATGCAGGTCAGCGCTCTTGCAACATCTGTCCACAGATTCAGAACAGAATACTCGCACTGTTCTCATTCCTCAACGTAAGATCACACATCCAACCACGTAAGATCACACATCCAACCACGTAAGATCACACATCCAACCACGTAAGATCACACATCCAACCGCGCACAAGGTCATGTCGACACTTCTGGAAAACGTATCAAACGTTTTCAATTGTAATTGAAGTTTCTTACAAATTCACCACAAACTGAGGTTCCCGTTAGCCAGCGGAGACCGGGATTCAACACTGTAAGGTGCAGCATTGTTACACATCAAAGGGCGCAGGTTGCCTGATGATCGCCTGATTGCATTGTGCAAGACACTCGGAGTTGCGACATACTCGGCAGTCTGCAAACGTCCTTTGTGTCCGTTGTCTCAGGTACAATACAACTACTGTAGTATCTTGTATAGAAACCTGTTTGGAATACAAGCCTGATTTTCAAGATACACTGTCGGCACATAAGCCTGGTTTAGTGTTTGTTTGTTTGTTTGTATTTATTTGAATTCGCCACTTCAAACGGGCAAGAACACAATACCATGCATGAAAGCGAATGTGATGATGGCTACGGCCATAGGGAGAAAAAAAGGATAAAATATGTCTAACGAGGAGGAGAATGAGAATGAGAGTTTGAAATGTTTCAGCGTAGAGAGATCGTGTGCGGCGGGGATCAACAGAAAGTGTTGACAATTTGACATACATGTACATGTACATAGAAACACGTGGTTTGAATAGAAGCCGAACAGTTAGTACTGATATCGGCTTATACGGCCATAAGCACCTGCTTTTATACGCGACATTACGGTATGTATATGTACATGTAGATGTCAGTAAGGCCTAAGGATAAAAGTACAGGACTGCATGGTAATCACTTGCCAGTGTGTACACGTACATGTATATGCGTGCTTGTGTGTGTGTGTGTGTGTGTGTGTGTGTGTGTGTACGTGTGTGTGTGTGTGTGTGTGTGTGTGTGTGTGTGTGTATGTACATGTACGTGTACTGCGTGTAACGTATGATGTACCGGTACATGAGAATTGTACACGTTGATCATCAGTATGGTACAGTAGTACAGTGCATGTCTGGTTCAGTCAGTATACTAGTAGCCAAGGAGTAGATAACACGCGATGCCAGTTTTGTTCATTACTATGATCACTATGATGTGATTAAGTTAAACAATTCCCTGGTCCACTGGACATAAGAGAAGGTGCAGCGAAGCGTGGCACTAGCCACTAGCCACTGACCTAGGGTCGCTATTGAGTACTGACCTAGGGTCGAGCGTATATCGGTGTCAACTCCCAGCACATTGCACCGATCCCCTGAACCCTATCATGACACCAAACTGGCAACAACACCACCGTCATGATCAACCAGTACGTACACAACCCAAACATGCTTTAGTGTAGTTGAGGGTAGTTTACTGTGTGAGCTAGGTATAGGATCAGTTTATCGTGTCTCATGAGGTCGCGATCTATAAGTCTATAACACTTCTAAAACGGGGCATGCTTTACCCGTTTGGGAAGCCACTGTGTCACCTCCGTAAACAGGACGATACTACTCGTTTCCTTACATGGACGACTCACTTTGTAAACCTTTTCTTAGTCAAGTGGTGTGCTCCACTAAACCTTTTCTTATAATCACACAACTTCCGAGAACAGGGACATATCAATAAAGAACACCTTGTTTTAGAATTGCGATCAACAGAACGAGCGGAACCGACATTTCACAAAGGCTTTTATTGTATTCAAAAAACGAGTGGATACGAAGGCAGTGAAGAACATGGAAGAAAGAAAAAATGTGATATGGAGAAAATGATGAACAAAAAATGGTTGGCCATGGTGTCATATCTTGTGTCACATTATTACTAGTAGTCTTTACAAGTTCGTTAAGCGCTTTCGCAGTTTTTCCTGTTATTACCTTAGTGCTAGGATTATCATTTTCATAGGTGTTGTTTCTTCTCACTCCATTTCTCTTTATTAGTACCTTTCTGGATTGTTTTTCATTAGTACAACGTAGCTTCCTGAGGAGTGTTGTGCGAAAACTAGTTCGAAGTACGATTTTTTGTTCATCATTTTCTCCATATCACATTTTTTCTTTCTTCCATGTTCTTCACTGCCTTCGTATCCACTCGTTTTTTGAATACAATAAAAGCCTTTGTGAAATGTCGGTTCAGCTCGTTCTGTTGATCGCAATTCTAAAACTATTGTCGCCTCGACGCCTATTTACCTTGTAATAAACAAGAGAAATTCTGAGCTTATGTCTGTTACGAGGGTTATTATTATTATTATTATTTGTTTTACATCGGAAGCTCAACAGTGCAGCTGCACAAATATGAAGAGGCCGATGGGACCAAAAAAATATATAAAAAAAATAAACAATGTATATACATCAGTGTAAATGTTCATACATCAGTGTAAATGTTCAAATGTTTAGAAAAAAAGGGGGATGAGTGGTGAACATAAAGAGAAATGAAGAAAAACGTATGCTGAATGAACCTGGGCAATAATTATACATGTACCTGGTGAGAGACTAAACGTTGCCAAC